ACTGCCCCTATGGACACCATCAACAAGTGAGCAGGGGGAGACAAGCTGGGGGATTTTGGGGTCCCCCCTCTTTCTGGGGGTCCCCATGGGCCCCCCCGGCCCCACCCACAGCTCTGTCCCCATCCCAGGAGCGTCCTGGACTTTGATTTTGAGAAGCTCTGCTCCATCTCGCTGTCCCACATCAACGTCTACGCCTGCCTCGTCTGCGGAAAGTACTTCCAGGGTGAGCCCCCCTGGGGAGCAGGGTGCTGCTGGAGGGGGACATGGGGGACACCCGGGGTCTGGGGTGCTGCTGGAGGGGGACGTGGGGGACACCCGGGGTCTGGGGTGCTGCTGGAGGGGGACGTGGGGGACGCCCGGGGTCTGGGGTGCTGCTGGAGGGGGACGTGGGGGACGCCCGGGGTCTGGGGTGCTGCTGGAGGGGGACGTGGGGGACGCCCGGGGTCTGGGGTGCTGCTGGAGGGGGACGTGGGGGACGCCCGGGGTCTGGGGTGCTGCTGGAGGGGGACGTGGGGGACGCCCGGGGTCTGGGGTGCTGCTGGAGGGGGACGTGGGGGACGCCCGGGGTCTGGGGTGCTGCTGGAGGGGGACGTGGGGGACGCCCGGGGTCTGGGGTGCTGCTGGAGGGGGACGTGGGGGACGCCCGGGGTCTGGGGTGCTGCTGGAGGGGGACGTGGGGGACGCCCGGGGTCTGGGGTGCTGCTGGAGGGGGACGTGGGGGACGCCCGGGGTCTGGGGTGCTGCTGGAGGGGGACGTGGGGGACGCCCGGGGTCTGGGGTGCTGCTGGAGGGGGACGTGGGGGACGCCCGGGGTCTGGGGTGCTGCTGGAGGGGGACGTGGGGGACGCCCGGGGTCTGGGGTGCTGCTGGAGGGGGACGTGGGGGACGCCCGGGGTCTGGGGTGCTGCTGGAGGGGGACGTGGGGGACGCCCGGGGTCTGGGGTGCTGCTGGAGGGGGACGTGGGGGACGCCCGGGGTCTGGGGTGCTGCTGGAGGGGGACGTGGGGGACGCCCGGGGTCTGGGGTGCTGCTGGAGGGGGACGTGGGGGACGCCCGGGGTCTGGGGTGCTGCTGGAGGGGGACGTGGGGGACGCCCGGGGTCTGGGGTGCTGCTGGAGGGGGACGTGGGGGACGCCCGGGGTCTGGGGTGCTGCTGGAGGGGGACGTGGGGGACGCCCGGGGTCTGGGGTGCTGCTGGAGGGGGACGTGGGGGACGCCCGGGGTCTGGGGTGCTGCTGGAGGGGGACGTGGGGGACGCCCGGGGTCTGGGGTGCTGCTGGAGGGGGACGTGGGGGACGCCCGGGGTCTGGGGTGCTGCTGGAGGGGGACGTGGGGGACGCCCGGGGTCTGGGGTGCTGCTGGAGGGGGACGTGGGGGACGCCCGGGGTCTGGGGTGCTGCTGGAGGGGGACGTGGGGGACGCCCGGGGTCTGGGGTGCTGCTGGAGGGGGACGTGGGGGACGCCCGGGGTCTGGGGTGCTTGCCTTTTCCGACACCGTTTCTTGCCCACAGTACGTGCTGAAGCCCACCTTCACCGCGCAGCAGATCACCAACCTGGACAAACAGGCCAAGCTCTCCCGTGCCTATGACGGCACCACGTACCTGCCCGGCATCGTGGGGCTCAACAACATCAAAGCTAACGACTACGCCAACGCTGTCCTTCAGGTATCACTGGGGAGGGGGTTCCAGGCTTTATTTTTGGGGTGAACCCCCACCCCCAAACCACCCTGCACCCTGGGGGCTGGCGGGGATGCTTCCCAGCTCCTCTCCCACAGGCTTTATCCAACGTGCCGCCGTTGAGGAATTATTTTTTGGAGGAGGAGAATTACAAAAGCATCCAGCGCCCACCCGGGGACATCATGTTCCTGCTGGTGCAGCGCTTCGGGGAGCTGATGCGGAAGCTGTGGAACCCCCGGAACTTCAAAGCCCACGTCTCGCCCCACGAGATGCTGCAGGCCGTGGTCCTCTGTAGCAAGAAGAATTTCCAGATCACCAAGCAGGGTGAGGACTGGGGATGGAACAGTGGGGGCGGGCGCTGGAGCCGGCCCCCCAGGTGCTGATTGACTCTCTGGTTTGTAGGGGATGGGGTGGACTTCCTCTCCTGGTTCCTGAATGCGCTGCACTCGGCCCTGGGCGGCACGAAGAAGAAGAAGAAGAGTGAGTAGAGGGCGATGAAGGCCCCTTATTCCCTTGCTCATCACCCCTGGTCCCCCACTGACACCTTTCTCTTCCTACAGCCATCGTCACCGATGTTTTCCAGGGCTCCATGCGCATCTTCACCAAAAAACTGCCTCACCCGGACCTGGTGAGTACGTGGAGGGGCACCAGGGAGGGAGGTTCTCACCCCCGTGGGTGTCTACAAGCCCCCCCTCTGAGCCCCGTGTCCCGCAGCCGGCCGAGGAGAAGGCGCAGCTCCTGCAGAACTCCGAGTACCAGGAGATGATGGTGGAATCCACCTTCATGTACCTGACCTTGGACCTTCCCACCGCCCCGCTCTACAAGGACGAGAAGGAGCAGCTCATCATCCCCCAGGTCCCCCTCTTCAGCATCTTGGCCAAATTCAACGGCGCCACCGAGAAGGAGTATAAGACCTACAAGGAGAACTTTCTCAAGCGCTTCCAGCTCACAAAGCTGCCTCCCTACCTCATCTTCTGCATCAAGCGCTTCACCAAGAACAACTTCTTCGTGGAGAAGAACCCCACCATCGTCAACTTCCCCATCACGTGAGTGGTGAAGAACCCCTGGGCGGGCGCTTGGGGTCCCCGCCTCCCTTTCCCTGTGCCCTGTACGGGGTTTGGAAGCCTCCAGGGAGAGGCTGGAAGCGTCTGGGGGGGTTGGAA